AAATGCGTTCTTAAATCCGATCTTTAAGGGGATTGTGAAGGAGCAGATAGAGAGATTAGATAGAATAAATATCATTTAGTGTATAGTCAAACAAAACACTTTTCACGGTTTAAAATACGACATATATTAGTCAAATAATTTTTAATTTACTTAGAGTACGGCACGAAAATTCGGACGCAGTCGTTGTCACAAGGTTTACTTTACACTTTAATATTTTTCACATGTTATGTATTGCACATGATGGGACTATATAATTTAAAAAACGAAAATAAATTGAAAAAAATTTCGACTCGGGCAGGACTTGAGCAGGTGTCGTCAGAGCAACAGCTCGGAACGCTGACGATGCCGGTTCAAGTCCTGCCCGAGTCGAAATTTTTTTCAATTTATTTTCGTTTTTTAAATAATATATTTTTTTTAACAATTAAAAAGCTTTCACAAGTTGTTGTACATAACGGCATATAAATGAAAAATCTATCTTGAATTAAAAAAAATAGTTCTGTATAGTTAATTAGACAATTTATATGCATTTGCGCCAATATATTACTACAAAAGAAAAATAGATTGATAAAAAACCACAACCTGTTATTTTATATACTGAAACCATTTAAGTAACACGCCAGTTATTACGATAATCAATAAGTTAGTATCACTCAAGAAACACCTAAAGAAAATTTAAACGAAATATTTAGTTCAATTTCTGGTAAGCGTGCACTGGTTCGAACAAAAAGGACGAGAACTTGAATAAAACATTAGAAACCGTCTGTATTTTTTGGAATATTATAAGCTGCTAAGCGAAATTCTCCAATATCGAAGCGAAATAGGAAATCTGCTCCCGATTCTTTGAATGATATCTGCAGCTGTTTTTCAAATATGTTTGCGATACGGTGCTCTTATTTTAAAAGAAAAAAGATTTCAAATATAGTAATTGGAAGGCAGAACAATTTATAATTAATTATTTCACTTTAACTACTACAAATTACAGAAAAATTCCAAAGTTAACAGTATTTTTCTGTCAAATACGTTTGTATAAAATCATGTTTATTAACTAACTGTATCAGCGACTTCGTCCGCGTAGAATAGTTATTGTGGGTCATTAAAATTTGTTTTTGCTAACCTCCGATTCAACTATAAATTTAAGCTTTTAGGCACGAAGTTGTCCGCGTCCAGTCGTTCTTCCAACGTAACCTTTAAAGGTAGACATATAGTGTCGAGGGCATTCTCTTATATCATTCCTATATAAATCATTCTTCCATACATATTTTTGGGTATCTTGAATAAGACGGTTTGTCACATTTCCTGTGATGTTTTATAACCTTGACCATTTCTCGATAAATGTTCTAACCAACACAAAAATAATTTTTCAATTCAGACCAGTAGTTCCTAAAGTTCGCGCGTTCAAAAAAACTCTTTAGCTTTATAATATTAGGAAAGATAAAATATATATATATGTACATTGTTTGACCGTAAAATGTTTTTGCTTCGTAATTGAACCCAGGACGTTGTTACTATTAATGCAAAGCATATATATCCGATATATATGTTAATAAACAGCGGTTACATAAGAACACAGGGCGCATATGCTCTTTCCTCACACAGCATCTTTATATGAAGCTCGTATTAAAGTTTTAGTGAAGTCATCTCATCCAAGCATTCCTTGTGGGGTGCTTCAAGTTAGTAATTGCTGTATTACGTGTAATGAAGTAGAGTACTGCCGTAGAAACGTACAGCTTTCAGCCATTTGAATAAACACTTTTTGTGTTGTGAGACGAAAATACTGTACTCCGTACTTTACAGCTTAACATAGGTATGTATGATTTATATTTATACATACGTAAAAACAACATATCTATGGACTGGTTGAGCTTCCAAAAGACTTACCTGATTTAAAAGAGGCATAATATAATATTATTTTTATTATTGTTAATAGTAGCGTAAATAAGCTTTAATAATTTTATAGAGATAGTATGGAAATGTCATGATGGCCTTACTAACTTTATGCCTTTTGTCAAAAATATATTAATAATACAGTGTGCAGTTCACACTTTAATAAAATGGAGTCTTGTAGTTTTAAATTTAAAAAAGGTTGTTAATGGATGTAAATTTATTTCTGCAAATCACGTGTTCCAGCATTCGAATCCTCAGGTGCAATTTCAGAACACTATTTTTGACATTTCTAAGGCCTTTTAAGAAATAGCCATGGTTTCAAGGATTTTATGCTTGAAACATCAATTCTGGATTGTCTCCGAGGACTAGCCGACAAATTTATCAATACTTTTTACGCGGAAGTGTATTTTTATCAAAATGTTGGTAGCATACATTCAAGTACTTTATCACCTCGAATCGTTTATCAGAATGTAACTATTGGCTCCGCGATACATTGCCTGGATGTCCGCACTTTTTGTTTTCAGTTTTTTCCTCAGTTTAATGTTTCGTACATTCTGTGATTTAGGGGTGACAGACACTGATAATGTTATGAATAGCATACAACTATCATCAACTACACTTTCTGAAAAGTTCTAAAAGCTTTGCAATACAATATAAGTCTTGACAATTTTGATTAAATTCGTAAGCAAAGGTGATAAACAAAATTAATCGTTTTAACGGTTTAAAACGCTAATTTTAAATGGAGTTAATATATAAATAATATATTAACTACATTTAACAATTTTACAAGCACAAAGCGTAATTATTATAGTATAGCTCGAGTAATTTTTAAAAGTTACCACAAGTGAAATTTTAACAATGTATTTACAGCTTTTAAAGCATTGTGTCAAAATGTGTTATTTACCAAAGAGATATGAGTAAAATTTAATCTAAGCCAAAACTCTTTGCTATTGGTTTTAAAAATCAATATTTTGTTTCTTTTGAGACTTTTATATTTTGTCAATTTTGGATAATTGTGACAGCCCTATCAAGATCCAAATTATTATCGAAATATCCTTTGTTCAGTTCGCGTGACCTGACCGTTGTTGAAATGAAAATATATTGTGTGTGTTTTAATTTTCAGCCAAATGAAAAGTTCATCATAATGATGGAATGCTTTCGCCATTACATAGTAATCTCTTTATCATTAAGCACATTCGGTTCAAATTACTTGGCAGGGTCTTTGTAATTAAATACAATAATAAGCTTAGGTCTATGGTCGTATACTGTATATATACTATATACATACATACTATATAAATGTAAAATGTATTATTTAAATTATAAACGTATTATTTTTTATATACGTTTTATTTTTTGTTTTGTTTTGTTTTTATCTACAATTTATTTTAACTACGGCCCGACACCCGTCACTATGTTTTATTTAAATGTGTATTACTTGCGTTAAGAACAGACAATACTTAGATGCAACATATTAACCCGCTGCTTGTTTTTATTTGTAAATCAAAAAAACGGATAGCAATGCAGAGAACGTACTACAAGGACACCTAGGCAAATATTTCGGTGTACGGTAAAAGTCTGTGGTCTGTAGGTCAACACGGCTCTCCCGCCCTGATTCATCTATTTACTATTACTGTATTAGACACAATATGTCGATTGTTTCTCAAGCATCGAACGCACAAAGTATCAGAAGGAAAAGTCGCCGAATACAATTCTCGACTCCGCACAGCAGTAAAAGCACTAACTCACGGACTTTTATTACGAAATCTTGAGCGCAGAACACTGTACAAAATTGTTTCATTAAACGCAAAGAAAGATATTTCAATTCTTTGCTACTCTTGGTATATTTAATAATCGTTATTTACAATTGCAATCTGGTTGCATTGTGTTAAATGCGTTGCCTAACTATGTGTTAACTGTTCGAATTCTGGGAATACGTAAAAGTAGTTTTATACTCTCTTCTCTTACTTGAATATCCCCTATTTGACTGTTCATCTCGATGTCTTAGTAAAACTTATCTATGATACGCAGTCGAGACTTCACTTTTACAATAAAATCTTAATTTTTTGGTGTATGTTGCATGCAATTCTAAAAGTATTAGGTTTAGGGAAACACTACGTTTATATCTTCAATTGTGTCAATCAAAAGTGACAATTTTCACTGTGGTTTAAAAACAAGCTGTTAATTATAGTCTTATGCAATTTACATGAAATTAACCTTTAAATAATATATGAATATAATATAATAACTATATCAGGTTTTATAGGAAATCGTTCGTGTATCTAATCTGGGACTTTAAATAATTCATGGAGGGACCGTTATAAAACATAACGATTTCTGAAAGGCTTTAACAACAAAGAGGGTGATGCAGAAAATGCGAAAGTTGGCCCGAGGCTCGATACAAACAGTGAATAAGGAAACTTGACTTATGAAAGTTTTAACGGCTCCACAAATATGGCGGATAGTGCTGGTCGATGGCTTATTTTTACTCTGCATATAGAAAGGATTAAAATGTTTGTACGTGTACGTAGGACTAAAAATGCTAAGATAGTTTTTTAATGTTTAAAATAACAACAGTTAAAAAACTTACGAAAAAAATCGAATAAGACAATGTGGCTGTTTAAAAAGGGAAGAATTCTGATTCATCGGGAAAATTCATGATGTAACTAATAAAGATGACGCAACAAATTCACAACTTAGAGTTATAAGTTTCGATTTCATAGGGAAACATTTCGATAAATGTTGCTATACATGTGTATATAAGTATATACGCTCGTATAGCAACATTATATAGAGAATCAAAAAAAAAATTATATTATAAAAATATGCTTATAATTAAGCAATTGATTGATCAAAATTAGATGCAATTTAGTAATTTCATTTATTTAAAAAAAGTTATGAAATATGTATAAGACAAAAATTACAATGCAAAAAATAACTTAACACAAATAAATTGAAACTGTCAAACAATATAAGTATATAGCACTTAATGTTTCGATCATGTTCGCAATTGACATTAGTTGTATTCGGAAAATTGTGACCACTGAGTACCGCTGTCAAGAAAGATGGATTTCATTCCAACATAAAAATTATAATATGGTTCAACAAAACAAAAAATGAATCTGGACTCATCGTCAATAATACTTCTATCCATAAATTTCGTTCAGGTGATTTTTATATTATTTCTTTTAACGCCATTCTTTGATATAGTAACTCTTTCCAAGAATATTAAACTCCTCCAAGACACCAATGTTCTTACGCTTCCGTTAGCCCTCCTCTACGTTGCTACTATAATTACGTCTGGGATTATTACACCTACGAAAACATTAAGTGAATTGAATTCCGCTTGGAAGCGAGAAAACACAGCAAATAACAAACTGCGAAATATAATAGCTACAACAAACGCATCTCGAAACTACATCCTCGGTTCGTTCTCTTTGTTTTTCCTCCTCGTTACTTTAAGGATAATTGAGTTTTTAAAGTTCTCTGCGAAATTGGTGGAATTTTCACATTTGATGGCAAACTATGATCTTATCGATGTAGCGTATATCAATAATAATAATCCTATTGATTTGGAAGATTCAAATTGTCTGGAAGAAGATAATTTTAAGGATTACGATATTGTTCGTTGGCCATCGGCTATTGATTTCAATGAGGACGAACAGAATATTGCACAAAATTACTTTAAATTGAATCCAAAGTGTGATGTTTCAGAACTCAACTTAAAGCGTGAAACAAAAATAATTAAAATCGGAGAAGAAACAAATTTTGAAAGCGCAACAATAAGTAAGGATACATTGTTTACTCTTACCTCTGAAAAATCAAAAGGCGATTAAAAGGAAACTATTAAGCTACAAACCCATAGAAAATGATTAATATATTTAGTGCCATAACAGGATGTATAATGTACAGCCAAGTCGTTATGATACTACTGTTATTAAAGCCAATCAAAGAACCCGCCTTTACAAGAGATTGTTGGTACACGTTTCTAGAACACTACACGTGTCCTTCTAATTTTATGTTTATGCTATCCGCTTTTCTACTCGTTAATTTGATACTTGGAATAGCATTCGAAAGCAACACTCATGTAAAAATATTAGCTCAAGTGAAAGACAGAGAATTAATTAGAAGATTTTATTTGAGTAAATTCGCCATTGGAATAACGTGTTTCTTTTTCACGACAAGTATGTTATTGCTGCTTGAGAAAATCGTTTACTTCACTTTCAAAATGGCTGAACTACTCGATTTTGAATTAATGTGTAGAAATGCGATATTGACGAGAAACGATGATAATACAACAAGGATTTCAAACGCTTCCGTAGTGCTGCCGACGCTTTTGAAATTTCACTTAATACAACTACAACGTAGATGAAGTATGTGTTATATATTTGAAACTTCTTAATTTCATGTCTGTAATTAATAGACAAAACTATCTTTTATACAGACAATTTTTTTTTATAGACAAAATTTTTCTGTATCTGTTTTTCAGATAAATACCACAGTTCGTATTTCTAAAATTAATTAACTTGGTTTATGACCTGTTAACATTATTTTTATATTTTTAATTGATTACTTTTGTCGTTACCTTCTTTATATTTAGCTAATTATACAACATTTAGTATTTTAATAAAGCAAATAAATATTAAAGTCTAAATGTTTCATTGTATGAGATAGATAATTCAATTATTCTGTGAATATGTTTTGAAAGCTAAAATTGTACAACCTCATACTCCTTCTACTTAAAAAAAAGTCAAAAGTAATCATTCAATTGTCAAGCTTCAATGAATAAATACAAAAAAATGCAAAATATAGTGCATTATTAAAAAAAACTTTTTACTTTAAATCACGCAATGCCTTAAAACAGTAACAAGTTCTGCCGTCTTCAAACCCGAAAAAGAATATGGATGTCAGTTCTTTAGTCCTCGGCTGCGTGCTGCTGCTACAAATGTCTGTGATTTTGGTAATCCTAAACCCTGCATATGATATACGAAAAATTCGATCATTTTTCGCTGCATCTTCAACCATATCCAATTTAACTATTGTCGGCTATTTCTCCCTAGTTGTTTACTTGGGTATGTACATTCCCTTATCGAGCATATCGAGGCTCATATCAAACGAGGTGACCTGCGATTACGAAAAGTTGGTTCTGCTGAACCGGATCGAGAAAAACTATATTATTGCCGGATTCTCCCTTTTCCTGTTTATCGTAATGTATGGAGTTCGGGCCTTAGACATATACGCATCGCGTCTGGCGCAAATTTTAATGTCATCTGGCGGTGCTAATTTTCAAGGACAAATACTCAATTTGAAAGATAAAACTCAAAGATTCACATCGTCTTTTAGCCCGGAGAATATTCTGCCGAAGCTGTTGAAAATTAAAAGATCCGTTTCGTATGAGACGATATTATTTACAAAGGAGTTAAGAGACCTAAAAGCCTTAATCAAAAGTGCCGAAATCAGTGTCCACAGCCGCAACGCGATTTCAGATATCCAAATTTAACCGACCCTACCGACATTGTAAGCGACATACACTTTTACGGCTGTGAAGAAATTCAGGAATTCTTTGGAATTATAAGGGCACAGGCGACGCGAAATATTCGAAAGACAAGGCTATAAAAATAAAATGCTACATTGCAAAGGGAGGAACGTCAAGTTGGAATGTAGGGTGTAAAGGAGGATGGGAAATCGAGTTACATAAGTGTATTCCACTAGAATATAGGGGATAGGGTAAAGTGAGGAAGTTCTGGGAGTCACATAAATTATCGTTATTACTTCTTTCATTCATTGTTAGCAACAGTTTTGAATTGGTGATATTATTAATTCACAATGTAGACACTGAAATCTATAATAAAATAGTTACGATATTTACATTGGAAATTCATAATTTTCCTTCTTACGTTAAATATTTATACGTTTGCATAATAATCCACATGTAAGTATCTTTTAAGTGGAAAGTAGTTTAATAGAGTACTGTTCCCTGCAAATCAGAAGCTTTAATGTTATTTTAAAATTGAATTGTGTCTGTATCATTTAATTTCAATTTCATTAAAACGAAAGTTCATATAGAAAGAATGCTGAGTAATAACAATTTTCTAAGATGAAAAACTTAGATTTTTCGTACACAAAGTGCTCATAAAGTAATAGTTTTCGAATTCATTTCATTGACTCTGCTCAGTCGTGCGAAAAACTTCGGAAACAAAAGAAAAGCTACAGCCAGACTGGCTGAGCTTACCGACCGTAATTATGTCAGAAAAAACTATCAAATGGGCATTTGCTTTAAGATTTATTTTATCCCGGCAAATCCTCATTAAGTTACTGAGAACTGGTACCTTTTTATGTGGTCCAAGTTGAGGGATCAAGGTATTAAAGAATAGATTGCTTAAGCGAAATAGGATTCAGAGCATTGCTACTTTGATCTTCATTTGTTGTATTTTGTCCACACAAGTTTAATAGAAAATTTAAATCTCAATTCTGTTATTGTAATATTCTTATTATTAAATCTACGAGTTGTAAATATATATGAACTGTATAGTATAGGAAAAATAAATTTGCATCTGCCATACTTGAAATATTAGGTTTAGACTTCGAGACTAAAAATCCAATGAATTTTCTTCCGTCAACGAAAACAAAGAACAACATTTTATGCACTGCGCAACTGACCTAATTCCGTTCAAGTGAGTTCTACGAATACACGCATACGTAAATCTTAAGGAAAACCCCCAAGACATATAATATACGTCCTTTATTAAAAAATTCTCTCGCAATACGCTTTGCTCCATAAACACGGCTTTAGAATGGACTGAAAATGTTCTCAGCTGAACCACAGTCATATTATTCAAGCAGTATCGCTATGTCGTACAGGCCATTCTAAGCACTCACGTCCAGAGACGCAATCTCTATGAATTGTAGACTTGAGCCTGTTTATAAGTTTCTAGACTGTTCTGTGCCATAAAAATAGGTAGCGATTTGTGTGAGGTTCATAACTCCAACACAAATATATTTGAGCCGCAAATGTATAAAGTTTGAATCCAGCGACCTGCTTCGTAAGACTGCGAGATCTTTTATATGAACTGGAGCTATTCCGCAGTTTTAGGCGCGATATATTATTATAATAACTGCGTAATAACAATGTATACAGTTTATTTTCTTCCTCCTTTCTCTGGCAACTGAAATTTTGCGTTATTTCAAGATGTGAGAAACGATAGACACCAAAATTAAAATTGAACAAAACGAATTTCTTGTTACTATTTTATAAATAACTAGGACATTTTTTTTTAAATAGGGTAATCTCAGTTTACTTTTATTAATAAGCTTTTGCTTAAATTCCGACATCATTAATTCCATTCTGAATACTTTCTCATGCGTGTGCGTTTGTAAAATTAGCACATATAAAATTCCTATATATCTACAATTATTTTTATGGTAAATATAATCCTCGTAATAATTGAACAATATTTTGAAGATGTCAATTTTCTTTATATCTAATATATTGCTATTACAATCGTTCAATTTTTTTTAGTCAGAAGATCACACCGAGCAGAAGATAATTTAAAAGTTTTATAATTTAGAGCGATCTATTAAAATTCAACCAATGTAGGAAAGGATCCGAAACTCAGACATTACCCGAAAAACTTTTTAATTGTCACGAGCTCTAGTCTTTATTAACACATTAACTCCCGAGCAAAATTCAAATGTTAAATTTAAACCTGTGAAATAATAGGGAAGAAGAAGGATAGCATAATAGTGAGTGTTCATAATAGAAAGGGATAGAAGTAGTCCGTTTAATGGTTTCAAGAGGACGGCTTATAGGCTTTCTGGGGTAAATGGTTTTCTTGGTGAATATGTCGCAAATGGCGTTATTTTATTTTAGAAATTAGTATTTATTTATTAGTTTAGAGAATTATATTTAGTATTTAATTCACTACCTCCTCAGTACCTGTTTTACTAATGAATTTTATTAACTTTTGTGTGCAACCCGACACATAGAATGAATTCTGTTTTCCTGTTTTTGATTGTGTTTTTGAAAGCTTCATAGTTGAATATGCCAGACTGCGTTTAGCAGTAAAGCCTCAATAGCGACCATATTTTTATTCTTGTTCTTATTATCAATATTACGAAACTGTAAGTTCGTGATTACAAAAAACACGTTCCGATTCAAATCATGAATCCTTGAATATATATATAATTAATGTTTGTTTTTCTTTTCGCGATCTACGGAGATTTCAAAACAACACAATCACTTGTTTATAAAAGCTAAACTTCTTTCGTTTTTGTTTACTATTCGATTTCGAACCTTTGCCACAATTTTACTGTTTATTTACAAACAAGCTCCCACGGCTTCTTATCGCTACTCAAAAAAGACATAACACGCTGATACAAAAACAAGGGTTGAAAAAGCATTTTTGTTTCCTTTTTACAAAATAAAATAAATAACTCTTCTTTATACATTGATAATCAAATTGATTTCTTTTCCTTGGCTTCATCATATAACATATATACAAGATGCGCTGTCGACCTATTTTTAACTTTGGATATTCGGAAATCCAAAGACTGAAACCGAAACGCGATGACACAGCTTTTTATTTGTGGCGGGTGTATGTGGGGTGGTGTACCCGGACAGAATTTCGATATTCCTATCAATCATTTAATATCCAGATTCCCAGAAGTCCGACATGTTTCAGAGAAATTATAAACTGAAAATTTAGAAACACGTCGGACCCGGTAGGGTCACACGACCCGTTGATTAATAGCCATACATTCATTTCTACCAATAGTGATTAGACCAAACAGCCTTTAAAATTCCTGTTTTACTATCCTGAATAACATATGAAAATTATATAAATAAAATATAATGTCCAATCATATAATGTATCGTTATTAGTCAAAACAAAAGTATTTTCTGGAAAGACCCGGTCTAACATTTCTAACGCATAATAATAAACCGATCCGCAATGTGTGAAGGGCATTGTACTTCCACAAAGCCTCGTGACAAATGAATGATTTCGGCCAGTTAATATTATTGTTTGGCCAATTGTGGACAAGTTGGGGTAAGTGCCTGCCCTTTTGACAATGGAGTATAATATCACCGCTCCTTATAAATCCTAACATGTGGAAACACTTTACTCTTTCGTTCAAAGGCGAATAATGTGAGAGAAAAGAATAGCTATGAATTACATGTAATGAGGGTACAAGGCGGGTATTGCTCCTATGACTATTAGCGTAGTGTCACATCTGTGATCATAGAATAACTCAATCCATTAGATGTATTTTTGACTGGATTGATAACATTATCTATCTCAATTAATTTAGTCCATTTTTTCATGTAAGAGGAGGACAGAAAAGCGTGGGGCTAATGTTCGGAGACCCCAGCCATATATCATCGATACAAGATTTGCTGTCTACCTAGGTCTGGGTTGGATATTTCGAAATCTACAGTCTGAAATCATGACGCGATTAAACTTACCGCCTTTTTAATTACTGATGGTAGTTCGTGACTCGGACGGAATTTTGATGTTCCTACCATCCATTTAATATTTAGATTTCCAAACGAAGTCTACAATTTTAAATCGAATAGAAAAATGTTGGACCTGGTGGGTATCGAACCCTCAACCCGTTGATTATTAGCCATACTTTTAAATAAAACACTTTAACGGTTTAAAACGCGATATATTAGTTAAACATATTTGAAAATGATTTTTAAGTTCGGTCCGACATTTAGGATGCTTTGCAGCAGCCGTGATCACGGGGAGACTGAAGAGAAACGTCGGGCCGAAGTTAAAAATCATTTTCAAATAAGTTTAACTAATGTAACGTTTTAAACCATTAAAGTGTTTTATTTAAATGTGTACTACTCGCGTAAAAATATACTATAGACAGTATTTCATGCATTAACTTAATGGTAATCCATCCATATGCATATTTTGTTTATTGTATTATATTTTTGTTATTTTGTGAGCAAAAATCATAACTAGTACTTTTATTGTAAGCATATAGCTAGTCAATCTCGGAGTGCTTACTTTGCTGTATTCACGTATAAGTTAGCTATAGTATTTACAGATGTATCGACGACGACGTACGCATTATAATTCTTTCGACGTGTCGTCAACAAGAAAACACTTCGATAGACATAAAAATGAGCGGAATCGCTGAATAAAACAAACACAAAAGGGAAAATATTTCGAACAGGACGTAAAACTAGCTACATTATTACGTTAGACCTTTCTCCGTCAATTCTCATCCACAAAGCATCCCTGTGTAATGATATTAGTCGCCACACGTGTACGCGTCAATATAATTTGTTACCACCTTTGTGAGATGTGTTCGACTGGCGTGGTCCATCAGACCTCGTTCCTGCGATTCGGCGAGATAAACATATTATTTCTTTATTATGTTAGCTTCAGAACTTTGTAGTCGCTATCGTATTATGGGACACAAACGACGTGTCATTTTATTCTATTCAGTCGACATGTCTTTTATCAGCAAATGACCGGTAGATGTTGC